CCTAAATAGGAGCTCGCTGAAAAGTGCAGTCCTGCACGTCACCACGACATGCACTGCATGGCGGTAGCGACGATGTATATATACACACGTCACTATATTACGGCTAAGTACACACATTATAAAACACTCGTTGTAAAGGTCACGCTAATATCCCCGTATTAATTCAAAACGCATTAGCAAATGATCGCTGAAGGAATTTTTTTTTTCTACTTCAAATTTAAGGCACCGCCAGTGAGTTGTATTTAGTTGGAGGCAAGGTATTTGCCCAGCAACGCCGTCTCGAGAAAACAACAGCACCACATGTCTCTCCCTCCTCCAACTCATCCAGCAGTGGAGTGACGAACGGCCGAATGTACACGCGCACGGTACATGTGGACGCGTGATCAATACGGTGCTTGTTTTTTTTCTGTACGTGCCACAAAGGGCCATTGCCTGAAACGTCGCATGTTATATATATGTGTGTGTGTTGGAGGGCCAGAGACGCAGTGTTGTTACGGACGTGTCCTGTTGCGCGTGCTGTTAATGGTGCGATCGAACCACTCTCAACACAACAGCAGCATCAGCCTCACCAACATACTCGGCTATGTATAATTATGGCTGCGTTATATACAGTATATAGCCCGTGTTTGTGTGTGTGAGTGTGCATTTCAAAGCGTACATGCTACTGTGACGACAACAACAACAATGATTATTATTGTACATCGATTTTTTAAATCCCCGTCCCCCATTGCGGTTGTTTGACCATACTTCACCACGCTGGTCAGTGCGGGTTGCGGCATTAGTCTTACCTGATTGTACGCGGTCCATTGTGGTAGCAGCCTATACACATACACGCGGGCGCGCACACGCACAGACACGTACAGAAAGGCAAAGATCCCCCCTATAGCCTCAACAGACTGTTGGAGCAAGTGCTGTTAGGGAGCTCCTATGAAAGCCGGAACGGCACCACACAAGAGTGATTGTGGCCAGCACCACGCACGGCCGCATTTGTCTCCCCAATGCTGACGTTTACGCACCGCACCGGGTGCTTATTTAAGGGCGAATCGACCCAGGGGAGGCCCAGAATCGGTTCCGATATTCGCCACTGGTGTTGGCCGTGAGCGAGAGTCCAACTCGGGTCGGAGAGTTCAAAGCGCAGTGCGCCAACCACTGCGCCACCGCTCCCCGTCTATCGTGCACTCCAAACCACTTGGTCTGCTCTTCATCATCACAATCGTCATGATGATGATGATGACGATTATGATCGTCATCATAATCATCATCATCATTCCACACTGACCTTGGGACTGAGAGCTGACAGAGTGAACGAGGCACAGGTAGTCACTCCACTCCCACCACCACCACCGTCACCGTCACCTCTTTACTGCACATCCTTCTACCTCGTCCAGAACCCGAGGATTTCGGACGTCGCTCCGACATCTCCTCATCGGAGTTGATGCGCACGGTGCGATGCCTTCCTCCGTAGCCACCACCGCCGCCTCCCCTTACTCCCTTCTCTCTCCCCCACCATCCACACCCTCCCACCACCATCACCACCACCACGTCCACCATCACCACCACCACCACCGCCGTCGCCTCCTCCCCTACTTTCTCCCTGCCCCATCACCCCCTCCCCCTTTCCTCCACCTCCCCCCTCTCCACCTGCCCCTCCCCTCCTCCTCCCCATTAACCCCCCTCCCATCCACCCACCACCACCTCCACTGCCACCACTATCACCACCGCCGCCGCCGCCACCACCACCACCACCACCCTCTGTCGCTCTTCCGCGCGTCTCTCCGCGTCCGCACGCACGGACAGAAGCCGCACGGGCCGCCCGAACAACATCACCGGCCGTGCCGGTAAGGAGAGAGAAAGAGAGTTCATTAACAATTTACTCTCGAGGTGCGGCACAACGTAAGGCTGCTGCTGCTGCTGCTGAACCAACAACAACAACTGCTGTTGTTGCTGCTGCCGCCCGCTGCTGAGGTTTCATTTTTATATTTTCTGGAGGAGGAGCAGGAGAAAGTAAGTGGAAGAAGGTGGTGGAAAGGAGTGGAGAGTTTTTAAATAATAATAAAATAACAACCTACAGAGAGGACGAGCGAGAGAGTGGGAAGAGGAGAGAGAAAGACGGGGAGGGAGAGAGAGAGGCGAGGGAACGAGACGGAGGGGAAGAGACGGAGGGGAAGAGACGGGGATCGTCCACGCCAGAGTGGGGAAGAGAACAGAAGGGAGCCGAGACGGGGTTGGGGGGGAGAGAGGCGAGACGGAGAGGAGAGCGGGCGAAGAGACGAGTCGACGTTAGCGCGCTGGAGCGGTGGCGTCGACTCAACGCGACTCGACCCGGCTATGGAAACGTTGCAGGAGACGCGGACAGACGTCGAGGCCGCTGCCGCAGCGAACCCGGCCGTGTTCCTGGCGCTCCTCGCCCAGAACCAGGAGTTCCGCAAAGGTGAGACGGCGGGACGAGGTCGTGGGTGGGTGGGTGGTCAGTGAGTGAGCACAGAGAGAGAATGTGAGTCGGTGAACGAGCGAGTGTGACAGCGCGAGTGGGTGTGAGACAGCGAGTGTGAGCGAGTGAGCCAGTATGATGAGTGTGAGCGAGCCAGTATGAGTGTGAGCGAGTGAGCAAGTATGAGTGTGAGTGTGCGAAATTTGAACGAGTGTGTTAGAGAAGAGAGCGAAGGCGTGTTGGCGTGAGCCCGCCTGAGTGTTGTGAGTCGGCCAAGGAAGGACCCACCCAAAGCCACCACGCTCTGCAAATGACATTAGCGCCTTTGCATTCGCGCTAATGTGGTTACGACCCGTGCTCTTTTGCGCCCGAATTTTCATTAAGGATATTGGAACAGCCGAGCGTCATCCGCCCGGCTGTCTCTCTCCATCGTTCTTCTCTCTCCCTCTCCCGCCTCTCTCTCTCCTCCTCTCGCTCATGTCCATCTTTAATCAGCGCATCTGCGTATGTGTGTACGCACCCCCTCGTGTGCTGTAGCGGCCTTCATAGGTGCTCGCTAACAGCACTTGCCCCAACAGTCTGTTGAAGGCTATGTGGGGCATCTTTGTCTTTGAACAGCTGTTCCGGGAATTAATTTGTCAATGCGCACTCATCTCGCTCTATTTTGTCCTAAACCTTCTTCATAGGATTATAGGAATAAATGGTACAATTGATATAGGATTATTACGGATAGGCGGACCTTCCAGTCTTGTACTCTAGTGCTAGTGCCTTACGCCGATAATTTATACTTGCAACCAAGTCGTTTTGCCGAAAACAGCGTTTCGGGAAATATTGAGTGAGAAATTAAATCCTGCCTATAGAAGGCATATAATGGATAAGCGTCACCTGTACTCTCGTGTTAGTGCCTTACGCCGATAAGTTCCATTTCTATCCCAAGTCTGCCTACAGCAGCGTTCAGTAAGATATTGTGTGTACACACATATATGTGTATATATGGTAAAATTAATATATAATATATGTGTATATATGTGTGTATATATGTGTGAAGCGACAGCGCAGTGGTTAGCCCTACCGCGCCACGAATTCTGCCACCCGAGTTGGATTCCCGCCGGCGAACGTTTGAGACGAATGTAGGCACCGGTCATGGGACTCCCCTAGGTCGATTGGGCATTAAATCACTCACCTGGTGCGCTGTGTAAACGTCGGTAAGGGGGGGGGGAGACAAAGGCGGCGTGGTGCTGGCTGCGTGCCGACCTTTAATAGGCGCCCGTGAACAACAATTGGGCCCAACGGCCTGCGAGAGGCTATACGGGGGATCTTTGTCTTTACACTTTGGTTCGTTCGGTAAAGTCACGTAGAAAATACAATAATAGAATACGACGTTTCGGTTGCAACACAAGCAACCATTATCAGGTAAGAATGCATGATAAAACACAGACACGGGAACAGCATAGGCAGACATTACGCAGAGAGAGAGAGACACACACAAAGACACACAGAGCGAGACACACACCAAGACAATCAGAAGGACAACGAATCTGTGCCGAGGCCTTAAAGTCTATTTGTCGTCGTCGGCTGCGGGCGAATTTAATGGAACAGTTCCGGAACGAGTTCGGGTCGCGCGCGCGAGCATTCAGATTCTCTGGGGGAGCTTCTGTGGGTCGTGTCGCAAGTGTGAGCCCACAGAACCGGCGTTAGGCACTGCCACTGGAGCAACTAGGTACGCATATCCATATTATTATTAATCATCATTATCATATTTAACGTAGCATAAATTAATCCTGTAATCTTCTGAACAGGCGACGTGAGCTATGAGAATCCCTGCGGTATTAGGTGGGGTGCGGGTGGGAGAGAGGGGGGGGGGGGTCGAGGGAGAGGTTTGGGCGTGGGGGCGCAATGCCCCCCCCGCCCACCCCCAGCGTGATGATGTAAAAGTAATTGATAATACTTCATACATTTCTGTTCCATAGAAGTTGGGTAATCTGAACGCGATTTCGTGACGATGTCGCGTCTTGCTCTAACGCCCGTGCCACGTCCGGTGCATCGCGCTGGCGACTACTGTCGGTGAATCGGCCGTGTCGGGTGGAGGAGGGGAAGCACGACACACACCTTTGTTATTGCGCGATGCGATCCAAACAAAGACACAAGCATCGATTGGGGAGTCACTGACGTTTCAGTCGGCACCCTTTGCTGCTGTTCGTAATGCAGGCGTCGTTCTCCTCTGACACTCGTGACCCAGGGCTTTGACGTCTCCCGCTCGACGTTTTCCGCAACGCTGCCTGCGCTAAAGAGAGACCGGCTGCCGTAAGGCAGCTGCCATTAGAGTAACAAGTTACATTTATTTAGCGTTAAATATAACTGTGCATTTAACGTACCCTGTATTTAGTCTGTAATCCTACGAAAAGGTTGATCAAAACGTATGGATGTGAACACATGTTCGAATTGTTATCACGTGTTCTTGTAGTGTGACATAGACAACTCGGATCGACCAGCGTGGTGAAGTATGGTCTAGCCACACCCCGTGACCGTCAGGCATGGAGAGGCCTTCATCTTTGTCGAATCCACTGCTGGATGGAGGCCTATACTTCAACGCCGTGTCGGCCGTGGGGGTTGTGGTGGGGGTTGTTTGACCATACTTCACCAAGCTGGTCAGACCGCGTGGGTGATGCGTGGGGTAGGGAGGGAACCGAGGCCGTGTTCAGACATCGCGTGCCACTGACGTCAGCCGTGGCTACGTACGGTGCGAAAGAAGTTCAACATACATACGCACCAGAACTGAGTGCGCTAACCACTGCGCCACCGCTCCCCCATACACAGACACACACAATTGCATAAACACTCACACAAAGACAAATAAGACGACGTTTCCCGTATAGCCTTTAACAGAATGTGGGGCCAAGTGCCCTTAGCGCGAACAATAAAAGCCCGGCGCGGCCCGCGAGGGGTGTGGGTGACCAGCACAACGGCCGGCCGCCTTTGTCTCCCCAGTGTTGATATTTGCACATCACAAAATACAAAGATCCCTCCCCTCTGCAGATAGCCTGCGACAGACTGTTGGGGCAAGTGCTGTTAGCGAGCGGCACCAATGAAGGCTACCGGCACTGTGGCACACGACGGGAGGGTGGGTGGCCAGTACCGCGCCCGGCCGCCTTTGTCTCCCTGGTGGCAATGTTTACACACCACACGAGGTACTCATTTGATGATAGCAATGGTCAGTTTAACACGTAGGCTTATTGTTATCAATGTCAATAGTGTATTTCCTTTTCTTATTGCAAATCGCGAACCCCATGAACATCTCCCTGGGTCGCACGCCTCTTCGTTGGGAGGTTTCTGCTCTTTTTGGTTATTTTCCCAATTCCCTTAAAGAGTGGTGATGATAACAACAACAACAATAACGATAATACAACAACAATAATACAGACTATATCCAACACAGATGCTGAAGACCATGCAGACGCTCACTCACGCAATCAGCACGATTCACAGGGGCCGTTACATTTCAGCACAGGTAAAAGAACACGCCGTTTAGACTCTTTAAATTCTACATGTATAGGTGTGAATAGACGCACAATACACAGTCCAAACGTTGTCAAATCGAGCAGGCGATCTACGACTTCCCCACACCGCGTCGTTCACGTAGGTTTTTTTTAATTAAACCATACTTCACCACACTGGTCAGCGCGCTAACCGCTCTGCCACCGCTCCGTCCCAACATTGTATTATATATCCCTGCACGTGTGTGTGTGTGTGTAGTTCAGCGATACTCAGGCGAGTAAAGAAAACACGGAGTTACATCGAAACATCGAGAGCCGTAGCTATTTTTAAGCGAGTTTGTTATTTTAAGAGTTTAACATCTGCGTCTCTCTCGGCGCTGTTAATCTTGTGAATGTTGTTGTTGTGTAATTTAATTTAACCGAGCACAGTACAGATATACGTTGTGTGTTGTGTGTCTGTAAGAGTGGGGCGTTCGCGTCAGATACACGGCGGAGGCTATTGAACGTGGCCATGAGTATTTAATTATAACGTGTGTGTATATACATTTCTGAGATATGCGTCTTGATGAGATTTTGAGACGTTTCATGCCAGACCGTCTTGACGGGTGGGTGGGGGGTGCTGCATCTGGGCTGCTGCAGATTTGTGTCCTGGGTGGGAAAGGAAATATCTGTGAACGCCTTCCTGGAAGTTCTATTTTGACACCTGTGTGGTTTTTTGTAAATTACGCATGAACATATTCATATGATCATATGATCATATTCATGATTATATGATCATATGATCATGAATATGTTCGTGAAGATGATGGTGATTGTAATTATGATTATAATTTACATACGCGCAGCAGAGTATTGTGGTCTCACTATTATAATTGGTTTGATTGATTGATTGATTCGATAATGACGTTGGTGATGGTGGTGGTAGATATTGATCATGATTATTTATAGAATCATTGAATTTATATTGATTGTATGACCAGATGGTTATTGTTTGACCATAGTTATTAATTTTATGATGATGCATAATGCTAATATTATTGATATTATTATGATGACGATAAATGAATAAGATCGGATAATTATATATTATTGATATGTATTTGCGTGCCGAATAATGATGGCATGGTAATCGGATGATGATTAGTATATATTCATTGATCGTTTGATACGTTTATTGATTCGATTATCATAGTTATTGATTTGAAGCTATATTAGTGTATTCACCGAGTGGTTTGATACGTTGTTATGGGTCATGAATGGTGCCCACGATGAATATACTCACACATAGACGCGTGTTTGTAAATGTATACGCATGCATTCCTATATCAAATCTCATTCTTTTCATGAAGCTTAGGTATATGCATTCTAAACTCTTTACATTATTATCTTCTATCGTAAATTCCAAGCAATGTACAATTCGTCGGTAACAACTGTAACTTAATTTGATAGACGTAGCAAGTATATAGATATACGCATAGTTGTTTTACTTAGAGACGTAATAAATAT